TCGGGCTCGGCTCGTTTACAGCCCCACCAAGTGAACTATTTAACCACACGGCTACCAAACTCTGAAATCAATGTGGTAGCTTTAAACAATTTCAGATTTAAATAGATTCAACAATATAGCTGAAACATAATTAATTCTGCACTAGTTTATTCAAATATAATCTTTAACAAAATTACTTCAATTTTATTCGAATCAGTTACAGCCAAAGTAAATAATAATAATAATAATACAATACTCAAAAAGGGGGAATTAGTTCATATATAACTCCTCTCACACCTCACACTGACAAACACCACAATTCCAAAGATAACAATTTAACGCCAAAAAGTAAAAGAATTCTGCAATCAATTACCATCAGACGCAGCAGATGATGCTTCAGCGGCCTTCTTCTCCCTCTGCTTCTCTCTGCGTTTCTTATTTCTCATTGCATTTTTGTTTATTTCTCTGCATTAAAAATGGTAAATATGGAAAAGTTAGAGGACTAAAACTTTAATTCCATAACTGACAAAGGAGGAAAAAAAGTCAGGTGAACTTACTCTGTAGGAGATATTCCTCCAAAAAGCTGTCATTAGAGAATAATAATCAGTTCAGAATATTTATGTTTATATAATAGAGTTATCAAAAGATTGAGGATGACATAGTAGAGAAGATTAGCCAAGCATTTGCTTTCATAAAAGGAATCATAATAGTTGCCTAAATCATGAAAATTTGCTCATATTTCCATGCATGTGATGATTTTATGGAGGATAATAGAAACGCAGAAAAATAGCTGCAACAGCATTCTACTAGTTTAAAATGTTGTTTGTCATTCTTAGAAAAGAGTTGAGGCTTTTGATAAAAGTATAGCCTCCTCACATAATTTAAGAAATATATATCGACAAGGAATATGGTTTCAAATCAAAGCTAAGAATAAATTAACAAGTTGGTGCAAGAAAGTTTGGTGGCCGTTTGGGATGGCTTTTGACTTTTATTATCAATATTTTATTTTTATTTTATTTTGTTTACGCTTAATTTAAAACAAAACATGTTTGATAAGTCAAATTAAAATAAGGTTATTTTTGAAAACCATAAAAAAAAACATCTAAAAATTATTTTTGAGTGTTTTTAAAAACTTGTACATTTGTTTGTAAAAATTGAAACACATAAAAAAATATACGAAATAAATATATTTTAAAAAATAAACACAAAAACAGAAAAAAAAAATAGTAATAATGATCCCAAATAAAAATTTAGAAAATTTGTCTGAGCAGATAATCTGAACACCATCACAAATGATCGACCCGCAAAGCAACTGAAGATCCAAAACTAGGCCACTCAATTTAGGTTTCATTTGGGATAGAATTGTCAAAAAGCAGCCAACAAAAAAATATATGTTTGGACTTTAGCTGTATTTTTAAAATTTTGCCTAAGAGAATCCACTTTTCCAGAAAGTATAATAGAAATAGTAGGAACTGTACTTTTGAAATCAAAAGCCAAGAAAAAGAAGTATAAGCTGTCCAAACGAGGTCTTATTCAATTGCTAAGGAGTCATTTGGGATCACTTTTATTTTTTTATTTCCTATTCATTAAATTTTATTTTGTTTATGTATTAATTTGAAATAAAACATGTTTGCCATAGTTGATTAAGATATGATTTAAAGACATTAAAACACCTAAAAATCATTTCAAGAAATTTTCAAAAATATGTTGATTTTGTTTTTGGAAACAAAAAATAAAAACATGCTAAAAACTCAAAAAAACATGTTCTAAAAAATTTAAAACAAAAATAACAAAATTAATTTCAAACTAAAACCAAATTAATCTCATTTTTTTAAAACTTTTATTAACTGAACAGTAAAATAGTATCATTATTTTCAGAATTCCTGTTTACAACATGTAGTTACTAATTATACAACAAGCATACCTCTGCCTTAACAGCAGCAACATTCTTAGCATGTGGTGGACGATATGCTGCAGGTTTCTGCACAGTGTTTGTGGAAACCTTCGAAGAGGTTTGTGATGCATTCATTGAAACCTTACCTTTAGCTGATGCTTGTGATGCTAACAATAAAGATGCTTGTGAGACTCGGAATTTTTAATGAAAATATCATAATGTCAAAAAACTAAGAAAGAATGATTTTTTAAGACGAGTAATAATAGTTAATTGTTACAACCTTGTGTTTTGGTTTCATCAATCTTTATGGTGGAAAGAGACATGACAAGATCCATAATATCTCCAAACTTTTCAGGTGCTTCCGGCTTCCAATCAGCCTACATGTCTAGGTGAAGTTAATTATAAATAAGAAATGAGGAAATCGAAGATAATAATTAGGAAAATTACATACATGCCTCTCAATTTATATGTATTCACACACATCATTTTTTAGAAACATGCTACCTTATCATTCCATGAAAAGTTAAAATGGTGGTACCTTTAAAGTGATAAAAAAGATTTGGGGGTTATAAGTGTAAACGTAAAGTTTAGATATTAGATATGTGAAAATATAAAAAATTGGTAGTATGTATGTAAATGCCCCGAATTTATTAAGAAAATGATTTCAAGGCTAACCTGGTACAACTTCTCAAACATTTTCTTAAAATATAAGGACCCGTTGTAGTGGAAGATCTTAATCCTTGAAATGAGAAACGGGGCAACATTAGTAACATCAACAGAGATATAGATGAATTTAAGGAAATAAATGAATTACCCATTGTCTACTTGTAGCCTTGGTGCTGTTGTAGCAGTCATAAAATAGAGTCCATCAGGTGACCATTCACTACTGACGGAGCATTCTGCTTTTGTGGTTCCAAGTAATCTTTTCTCTGAATAATCCCAAAATGCCTGCAATAAGATATAAATAGATCAAATACTCAAAATCCTAAAGAGGCGGGGGATTAATGTATACAATCATAGAAGCTCATAGAACATTCTGCAACAAAATATCCCTACTAAGACCGTGTATCTTAGAATGCAAAAATTGGTCTAGAAAAAGCTGGCAATTGCATTTATTAAAACTGCTTAACAATATTTTTTGGCAGAAAAGCACTCTGGTGCAATTGGCAACCAGAATTCATGGTAAACCCAAGGGAATTTGGTTCGCTAAAAAGGTAGTGTGCTGCATTTGGAATGCAGTAGATTCCAAATTTTGGCTGTTTGGTTGGAAGAAAAAGCAATTTAGAGTAAAATTACAGACAATTTCAAATGCAGCAAATAGTTCATTGCAAGTGTATTTGAAATTTTTCAGATTTAAATGATTTCCAAATACACTACAAATGGCGGCTACCACCGTGGTCACTGCAGCCGACAACTGCTGCTGCCAACCCCTATCGACGTTGTAGTCCCCAGCCGTTGCCCGCCGTCGCCGTCGCCGCCCTGACTGTAGCTGTTGCCAGCCTCCGCCACCGCTAATGGGCATATATTACATTCAATTCATTTTTCTTCAAACTAAACAAAACATGAAGTTAGTGCATTTATTTTACATTAAACCAAACAATTCTAAAGTATTCCAATACAATTCATTATTTTTACACGTTCTTTTTCAGCATACCAACAGCCGCTAAAACACTTTAGAATAGGGGCTCCGGTTTCCACTTGATAGGTTAAGTCGGGCCTTGAACACGCCATGCCAAATCAAACCAACCTGATTTGCCCTCAGCTTATGAAACTTGATCCATTCCCATAGAAACAATCATTGCACGATAGCCCAAACCTCATTAACAATGTGCATGATGGATTTGGCAACACAGTTGAGCGTGATGGCAAGGAGTCTCTTTGAACTTCCTGCTGCCTGTAGCAAACTTCAGTTCTCACCATACAAACCTTATTTCTCGTCCACCACTCATTTCCCCCTACTACCAAACTCTCCGTTATGCACCTCCCATTTCTCCCTGCTATCAAACTCTCCGTTTCGCTTAAATCATCTCCCGGTCCGGGAGTATCATTCCACCAATGGATCCAATATTTTATAGAGAACTGCCTAAATTCTCCATCTTTCCTTCCCTCTCACACTTATCAATTGCATCTTCTCCCACCTTAGCAGGTTTCAGTGCTTCTCATATCAGAAGCCAAATGCACCCTACAGCTTCCGCACTGATTAAGCTATTCAATCTTAGAAACACATTAATCATATTGTAAGTTTAGTTAAGCATATTAAGGATTTATTCACCTCAAAAATTACTCAACCCATTACCTCATAGAGAGCAAATGTGTAGGAATTGATTGTGAATCTGAGCAGGTCCTTAAATTATTATAAGTCAACATACTCCATTAGTGACATCGAAACTATATGACATAAAGCAGCAACTTTTGCAAGACAACTTCAAGAAGGAAAGCATATAAACGAAGATGGATAAGAAGAAAAAGCTCAAAATGATCACTGGAATTTTTATATGGTCATCAGTTTCAAGCTATCTCATGTTTCTAATTTAGTCCTTCGCTTCATAAATTTGATCCCAAATAGTGCCTCAACAAGAATTTCACAAAATTTTAAGGGTTGACGGCGGATGTGAAATTTGAGTGTGTTTTAGATTAACTGATGTGGACAATTTTTTTGAAACTGGATCATATCTTTCTTATTATTATTATTTTTTTCATAATATTTATTCCTTTCAAGCTTCCATCTAATTCATATTTTTCATTTCAAAATGGGATGACTTTCAATCAGATCATACATGTGAGTTCATATTTTGTTTTATGAAAGTGAAGCTTGATATTCGCTTGGTTCCTTCCACGACAATACAAATTTGGTTCTTCCTTGACAAGCAAGGCTTACGAATTATGATATTCGGGGTTGCTAATTAAGTAAGAAAACAACAGAACTTCTATTTTCCCAAGAATATCCTCCTTCCACAGCTTCTACATCTATTTAATAGTTTTACAATGAAAATTGTTAGAGGACCACTTTACTAAATCTCAATAAAATATGCTTTCCAATATTTTCAACCCAATACAGAACTAATACATGATAATCATTCTAGGTGTGAAAGTGAGTTAAGGCAATTTGCAAGCCAGCTCAAACTTAACTAGTTAACAAGCTCGTGATTCTAGCTTATTGAGCCAAAAGTTCAAGTGGAGCTCAGATTACAGCACTTACAATATACAAGGTTGAGCTCAAGCTTGACTTAGCTCGCTCACTAGGTCGCAATCAGCCTCAAGTCCCATTTCTTGCACTCCATTAGATCAAGGGATTTAAATCACATTGGGCTCGTTATTCAAGATATATAGAATAAAAAACATTTAATAGTGCTCATCATTAATATTTTCTTTCTTTGCTATCAACTTTCATTTCCAAAATTCTCAACTTTCTCAAACTCCTTTTATCAAAAAAAAGAGTCTTGCAATGAGCTCTCACTGAGACTTCCCAGTACTGGTGCGACGAGGACTTAATGAGATCGTGTCTTCCATAGCAACTTTCCTTAAAGGACTCCCGTTGATGCCTTCTCTAGGCTCTCCTGATGCAACTTTGCTACGGTGTATTTCTATCATACCTCGCTTTTGGGTCATCTAGCTCAAGAGTTGAGATTGAGCATGTTGTAATTCTGGTGAGCTGTGCTCGAGCTAGATATATGAGCTTGACTCGAGATCAAGCTCGAGTATGATTCTGCTTAATAGGTTAGTAAATAAATCAAGCCGAATAGAGCATAAGGTTGTTCAAGCTCAAGATCATTTACCAAAAGCTTTTTCAAGCTCGATTGAAGCTTTTATCATAGTTTTCAAACTCAAGCTCATTTAGCAATAGATTATTTGAGCTTGTTCTGAGCTCATCTCAAGCTTGTTCATATTGTGATTAATGAGCTTTAAATGAGCGTCTCATTTAAAAAAACAAAAAAGACTTATGGCCCCAAGATTGTTGAGCTTAAAAAAATCAAGAGTTTAATTGAACAAGCTTAATGATGCGGGAGGTTACCGCGCAAATTACCGCGGTACTGTAGCTGCTACATTACTGCTGGAATAGCTATTGCGGGAGGCAGGTCAAAATAATCCCATTTTATTTTTTGATGCTTTCTTTTCTATTATCATTCATTCATTTTGACATTTCCTATATGTATTGTATTAGTGTTTGGAAGACAGTTTTTCATGTGTTTTGTTCAGGATAGCTGTCGACGTCCATTTTCTCCTTTCAAAGGTTGTATCAAAGGATTTGGGCAGTGCTCCAGCTTTATCATTCTCCCAAGGTGGTATTTATTTCCCCTATTCCCCTTCCACATACTCCCCACAATGTTTCCTGCGGTTGTCCCCTGCTGCAGCCGCTCAGAACAGTTGTCGATGCTATCCTTCCTACAACATCTGCATTCTAGCCCACATTCCATGCAATTCCCTCTCTTCCGCTTGCTGCCATCGCTGTTCCAGCCATCATAAATCCTTTCCCCTCCCCAAAAATTGTTCTCCCAATCATCCAAGACCACCTCCCTACCATCCAACCGCTATCCCAACCCTACTGCACCACCTCCCTGCCACATATATGTTGTTCCAGCCCCCAGAAACCCAAATTCCACCTTGCTACTGTCCAGGACAGCAAGGGCTTGTTGTCCCGTTGTCATATTCACTCACTTGCTCTGAATCACCACCACCACCCCGAGATCCCACCCTAATTTGATTATTTGTGTCATGTGGGCTGCTATTTGAGATTTTCGGGTGTCGTATTGTATTTTCTTTTCAAGTGTGTTGATTGTAGCCACTTATTTGCTTGCAATAATAATGTTTATTTTTTCTATTGTGGTTTGGGTTAACTCTGGTATCATTTCGTACAAATAGCCTAACCTAGTTCTATCCAAGAATTTCTAGCATCCACCACACCCAAGCCTATCTCCACCTAATTTTTCTTTTCACCATAAATAACCTACCCACACCCAAAACCTTGTCATGCCGCCAAGGAGATAATTACTGGAAACCTAATCAAGGAGAAAGGACATGATTTTGTTTATGATAAATTCACAAAGAGGTGTACAAGGGATTTTTTTGGGAGAATATGCAGTGGGAAGCCCACCAACTACAACAAAAGCTTGCCCACCTTCGAGAGGAGGCAATCTGGATGGGTCACCAGCTACCACAATGATGACTTGCTAGATCGAAGAAATATAGTGAACCTCTTCCACCATGCGGATTCTAGGGATGAACCTCTACCTCGAAGATATCACCCGAAATATCTAAGAAGTTAGAATTGTAAATTAAAGGTTGATTTGCCATATTTCGACGGTTACATGGTTCTAAACGAGTTCAACAAGTGGCTCTGGACCTTAGAATAGTGAAATCAACTGCCATCAAGCTAAAGAATAGTGCATTATTTTGGTGACAAAATATAAGTACTTACGCCAGTAAGAAGAAAAAAATAAAATTACTACCTGATTCAAGATGAAACGGGAGATGCAGCGCCAATTCCTACCCACTCAATATAAACCAGATGTTCAAACTGCAACTTCAAAAGTTGAGAGACCACATCATCAGACGCCCACCACATCTTACAGACAGGTTTCAGCCCGAAGATCTTATAATCAGAGTACACCTAGGGAAGTATCCAAGTTGAGCTCACTTAAGGAGACACTCATTCAGAGGAGAAAACAAATGACACCACCTAGCATGCCAAAATTCATCCCTGCTAGGAAGTGTTTCAAGTGCTACGAATTTGAGCATGCTAAATCAAATTGCATAACCAGGAGAACGATCACTTTCGCGAAACAGTGAGCAGTTGAAGAAATAAATAATGATCTAGGTGAAGATGTCGATTTCAAAGATGATTCCCAACTCCAAGCCGACAAGGAAGAGACACCAACGCTTCAAGTCAACTGAATTGACAGTAACTATGTTGTATATTACAATTCCAGTTGAACCAAAGAGAGACTCCA